TTATGTAAACTGAATACAAGAGTGAAAATCATCAAGTTCCCTTTGCACATTTCAGGCAGTAAGTCTTATAGTGGCAATGGTCTCTGTTGTGGCCACATCATTGGCAAGTCCAATAATGCATATGGTTAGGAGTAATCTTCTTGAAAGGCTATACAAAAATTGAGAGGCTCACCAAGTTGGTTAGCTTGTAAATCTGCTTCCCCTTTCGTTCCTATTTAACTAAGTATACTAGAAGTGATTTTATTGTCCCCTACTTCTTTGGTTCATTCATGATTGGTAACTGAATGGAGGGTAATGATTGCATGAAGCCTGCTGAGTACTTACATCAGAATTAACTGCTCTACGTAGTTAATTTATGCCAGAAAAGTTTTATAATTTTTACTGACTTTTGCAGCATGCTGAAGGCTTTAGAAACATATACCGATACCAGAATCCTGTAATTATGAAAATTTTGAAGCTAAAGCTTCCCGACTATGTAGGAATAAATGGAGCTTGCAGACATTATATTGAAGTCAATTTACGCACTGATAATGCTGTCTTAGTAGGTATGATGGTCAGTAATGCAAGCTGCCATATTGTTGGGCCATTACAAGCTTGCGTTTTTGTAGATAAACACTGTCTTTGTGACATTCAAATTACACGAGGAACCTAAAGTCATCTCAAGTGGTTTGGTAAAGGTAGGCAGAGAGGTGGGACACACTTTGTCCCCTAGGAGACACTAGTTTAAAATTGGGACAGAACTGAGCAAAGCTCTACTATCACCTACAAGGTATCCTAGGCTTATACCAATGACAGGCAGAATCCTATGCCTTGTCATGATAAAATTCAGACAGTAAGATAACAAATAAAGCACGGAAAACTATGTAATGAGAAAATAACCAACTTAGAACTTAGTGCTTTTTTCAACTATATACTTAAAAAAAGCAAGAGAATAAAAAATTTCACCAAATACCTGAAAATATTTGCATACCAAATACCTGAAAATCAAATACCTGAAACCTGAAACCAAATACCTGAAAATCTATGCAATAATAATAATAATTAAAAAAAAGCAAATAAATTTGATTGATAAAAAAGTTTTAACTAATTGGGTTTCCTCCTAGATCCTAGTTTAAAAATTTTCCTGCCAAATGCTAAAACGGCAACACTGTGGTTAGCTAGATGTCTGACTAGTTAGGGACTTTTCCTAATACCTACATATTGCACCAACAATTAAAGAGGTTATGTTGTTAAAGAGGTTATGTATGTTAAAGCTTATGTTTTAACTGCCTCTTTAGTTAAAAAGTTATTTGGTCAATTTAAGGAAGCATGTGATAATTACACAACTTAAAGTTTTACCTTTGTATCAATTAAAATAGTTGTTTCCTGTAATTTCTTTATTGGGTAAAGAAGAGCTGGAATATCAGAATTTTAAAATTCTATTCATTTAAAATAATGTGCAAATAATGTTTCCATAACGTTGCATACTTGCCAACCTATGACACTCAAAAATCAGGAGATTTTTTACAATGTTAAAAAGATTTTTTAAATGAGGAAAATATAGTTTTTAATAATGAATTAACTTTAAATAGTAACTAACTCTTAAATGAAGCAACACAAAAATACCTTACACATAAAACTTTTATTACTTGCATCGTAAAAAAAAAAAAAAAAAAAAAAAAAAAAAACCATCTTTGATCAGTTTGTACAAATGGTATAAACAGTGGCAGATTTTTGCTTTCTTTAAGAAAGAACTTCATAATTTTTCAAAGCAATTGCCACGTAGGCTGCTTTCACTAATAAAAGTTTTCTAAGTGTCATCACTAAATTAGATCTAAATTTAGTCTCGCGTTTTCGCAACAACACTGAAAATCCTCTCACACTCTGCTTACTATGGGGAACTGTCAAGATGGCCAACATAATTCTAGACAGTCACTATATTTTAAATTCCATCAGCATCTTTTCATTTTCCAATTAAACTCCACTGGGTGTCAAACCTAGCTGATTTTATAACTTCATCCAAGTTTCTAATTGTAAACTGCTGTTATGCAGCTGTGACCTGTTTCAATTTTTCCTCCTTTTTTAGAACTCCTTTCAAGATAATAATAAATATCAACAATGTGTTCATCTAACATTTATTGGTAAAGAAGCTACTCCTTTTTCAGCTGTTAAATTTAAGAGGTGACAGGTGCACCTCATAATCTGAAAATCTGAATTTTCTTTTCTGAAGATGCCTGCAACACCAGTCTTCAAGCCTACCAATACTGGTGCATTATCGGCACCAAGTGTTAAGTGTTTTTGTGTACGCACGTGTTTGAGAACATCCGCCCTTCCACCATGTGAAATCGAAAAATCGCAACGACAGGCGGTACACATCGCAAATTTATTACATTTCCTTGAGGAAATAATGGAAGGAAAGTCAACTGTGTACGATTTTTGAAACGTACACAAGTATTTCACCTTTCTCGCAGACATAATAAAAGATGATAATTTCTAAAACTATTTCCTGAAGGCACACGTACTCACACAACTCAGGACAAAATGAACGAAATTAACTAAAGAACATCCAAATAACAGCTGAGCTGCTTTGTCCTCATTGGCTAATATATGCCAGATGACACGCAGTGGAGCACAATGCCCATTGGAGAAACTGGAGAAGGACGTTTCTGGATACGTATATGCTCTCACTTACAAAGCAGAAAAATTATCTCAATATCTAATTCGCAAGATTTTGTTTTAGATATAATCTTAGAAAAAATTCAATTGCTTCCAGACGTCCAAAATCACTTTTTTTTTTTGTTTTTTTTCTCTCATATAACAAAAGTATTAAGCCAAGTTCCATAAAAATCGTGAGAAACTTTAAGAATAATCTGACGTTGGTATCTGTTTTAAAGATAGTCATAAATAGGATACACAAGATATGCAGGGATCTTTTAAGGTAACTTTAAGGTAACTTTTAAGGTCACAATACAGAAGTTATCTAATTCGCAAGGTTTTGTTTTAGATATAATCTAAAGAAAATTCATTTGCTTCGGACGTCCAAAATCACTTTTTTTGTTCATATAACAAAGTATTAAGCCAAGTTCCATAAAAATTGTGAGAAACTTTAAGAATAATCTGACGTTGGTATCTGTTTTAAAGATAGTCATAAATAGGATACACAAGATATGCAGGGATCTTTTAAGGTAACCATTTACAAAGACACTTTTGAAAATTTAAATATTAGTCGAGAGGTAGGCGGAAGAGAATGACAAAATTACACAGCATTTTTTGTGCTTGAGTCTAAAACTTTGAAGTCAAAATTAAATTTAACTTTAAAACAGCATTTTAAATACACTGGAAATATATAAAGAAATTTTAATAATTTGTGAGAAATATTGTCACATACAGGAAACCCTTAAAAAAATTGACAAATAAACCCACAATAACCTTTTGTTTTACCTTTTTTAAACTCACAGATGCATATTAAAATTAATTAAACAAATCAGAAGAAAATTTTAAGGTTTCTGGAATTTATGCTTACTGCACATTAGTTAAGAATATAAAATTAAAATTTCTTTAATCTGAGCTGCTATTTAAGTTAGATTATGAGTGCTCTATAATAAGCACTCATGCACTTAATTTAAACTAAGCAAATCAAAAGCAATGTGAGCCACCTTGATAAGTTACATCTTTATTTTATCGCTATGATATTTCTAACAAATATAATTTATGATATGTAAAATTCACGCATTTTAAAATATGCATAGTTATTTTAATTTTCATAGAGATTAGCATTATTATTATAATTAATAAAAATTGTTTCTAATACCTTATGCATAGGTACAGAATAATTGTCTGTCCAATGTCTCACAATAAAATAAATTTTAGTTATTCATTACTATTCATTTTAACTATTCATTACAAACAATAAATGTATTTCACTTTAAAGCCACTTATCAGTATTACAACATTGTAATCTAGGGAAGTTAGGCAGGGGAATGCACTGGCGTGCCTCTGCTTTAATTTAGCTCTGCAGAAAATTATAACAGATGCTAGTATTAATACAAGAGTACTATATTTAATAAATCAGTTCATATTCTGGGCTATGCTGATGGTGTAGATATAACTGCAAGATCTACAGCTGTGCTGAAAAGAGACATTTTTGGTACTACAGAATTCAGTCAGGAAAATGAAGCTCACAGTAAATGTGGAAAAAAACTCACTACATGTACTATGGTAAAAAGGAAAATCCTCCTAAAATATTTAAGGCCAGCCCACATAAATTTGAATCCATGAAAAATTTCATTTACTTGGGTTTTGAAATTAACTATCAAAATTACATTAATTCTGAAATCAGAAAAAGGTTATTACATGCGCATCGTTGCTTCTTTGGTTTAAGACCTCTTCTGAAATCCCATCTAATTAAGAGAAGGACAAAAATTCTATTTTACAAGGTATTAATAAAATCAGTCTTAACCTATGCTCCAGAGATGTCAACTCTGAGGGAAGAAACAGGCTTAGTGATCTTTAAAAGGAAGATTCTAAGAACTATTTTTGGTGCTATTGAGAATAATATATTCTGTAAAGAAACTTTACAAAATTTATAAAGGATGAGGATATTATTAAATCCATACAATTATGTAGAATGAGATGGGCAGGTCACCTCCTGAGAATGAATGCAGACAGAATGGTCCTTAAAGTCTTTAATACAACTCCTGTTTGTCAAAGATCAAGAGGAAGACCTAATAAAAGATGAAGGGTCTGCTTGGATGAGGATTTTGCCATTCTAGAAATTAAGAACTGGAGGTCAGTTGCTAGAAGAAGGGTAAAATGGGAGAAGCTTCTTAAGAAGACCAGGGCTCACAAGGGGCTGTCAAAGGCAATGCTGATGATGAATCTAGGAAAGATGTATTTTAAACGCATTAGAAAAATGCAAGCAGTTACTCCAGTCAGCTTAAATGTAGTTACTGTAATTATGTGTGCAAGACAAATGACAAAAATACCTGCAAACAGATAAATACAAATCAAACTAGTTACACAAGCTCTTAAAATGTTAATTTATTTCATTTACATATTAAACAATGTGCACCAAAATATAATTTTGTACATCTATTCTATATTTCAAAGAGTATAAACAGCAGGATGTATTTCATTAATAAAAATTATATATTATTGCAATTTTCTGCATAGTTTCATATTGTACACTTAAATGCTAATATCAGGAAAGATATAGTCTTTGAGATATGGTCAATATACAAAATCTTTTCTTATGAATTTTCATAAATGGCAAGACAAGTTGCAATACACTGTAAAAATATAGCTATATATAATTGTTCATACAAATGAAAAAACATACAGATTTAAATGATTATGGACAAAATCACAGACCTTTCATGTATTTACATCTACATTACTAATCCGAGATTACTTAGAATACTTCTTTCTTGAGCATTTAAATGTTCTAAGAAACTGTTATAACAAGATAGCCGCATTAATTGCTGTAAATAATCAGTTAAATAAGCTTTGAAGTTTAAACTGTATACAGGATCAGCAGAAATATCAGGATCGTCTTCTTCTTCCTCTTCATCTTTCACAAAATCAAAATCTGAAAAAGAAGATTTTTTGGGGAAAAAGTTAATTTTGACAGGCATTTCTTAAATCTATTATTAATTATATACATTTTATTTAAAATGCATTTATTTAAAATTTGCCTCCAAAATGATAAATATTATATGCATTTATTTAAAATTTACCTCCAAAATGATAAAACTATTCTAAAATTAATTTTATACCATATTAAATATTCTAATAAAGCAAGTCAGAAATCAAAATAAATTCAACGTTTTACAGCATCTCAATTTACAAAATAAATTCAACGTTTTACATCATAAAAATTTGGACTAGCTATTGTACAGTTTTAAATAATTAAGAACAGGATGAGATGAGAACAATTAATGGACCTCAAAATCTTATTATATCATAATTAAATATTTTCCACACATATATAATATCAAATTTCAGTTTAATAAAGGAAACTGTGCAGTCAAATTTTAACACCTATCACATCATCCGCAATAAAAGCTGTATGATTAATCATTTAAAAAAGTAATTAACAGTAAAATTGCACAGCAAGGGTATTTGGCTCAAGTGCCTGGATCACTTTGTATAATATCTTAGGGAAAAAAAAACCTTGTTGAAAATGCATTCTTACTTTTTTTTTTTTATAAAACTGAACTTTAAAATGATTAACTGCTTTGGGGCAAACTGAATATATAGAACACATAAAATGTACCCTACTTTTCTGGTTGACATAAAATGTTCTTTGCACAGTAAAACGGGAAACAAATCCACAAAAAAGATAAAAGTGATCTAAAATATCTAAATTTAACATAAACTTACTTTGATATTAGTTGAGTTTCATTTTTTACATATTAAAATGCTATATAAAATGTACTTATAATCGTCAGTTCTGATATACTGACAAAAAGATCTTGAAACCACAAAATTTAGGAATTTGAAACTTCAAATGTTAGTAAAACTAAATGTATCTATATAAGCAAAGAAATGTATTGGTGATAAAAAAAATCCATAACACACTGTAATGGGGGACTGAAAAAAAAAAAAAAAAAAAAAAAAAAAAAAAAAAAAAAAATCTTGAGGCCCATAGGTTCCTGATGGCCATGATTCATTCCCTGCTAGGTTACTAGTACCCTTTTTCTGCTTTCATAGACTGCTCCTTTTAACACCTAATCTGCCCACTTTCACTTGTTATATTTATTCTAAACTATGATACTAAATAAAAATAGCACTTTGTAGTAAAGCGGAGAAGAAAGTTAATTTGTGTTCCAAAATGTATTCGGATAGGTACAGAAATATCTCAAATCGAGTTAATTTGCTTTCTTGGATACAGAAATCCTTTCGTTTTCATTTAATTACTTCCAGAACTATTCTGCAAACGAACTTACTGTAAAATTATCAATGAAGAATAAAAAGAAAATTTTACAGTCATTTAAACTAACATATATATTCTTGTTGAATTTATCTGACATTTTCATTACATAACTAAACTTTTTTATCATTTAGCATTTTATCAACAGTCATGCTTTGTTGCAAAATTTAAGAAAATGTAGCTTATTGATCTTAATTTAAATGTAATTAGAAGTTTTGATTTTTGAATGAAATTGATTTCCCAAGTAAGAATTTTATATGAACTTAAACATTTAACAAAAAATAGTAGCATTAACGGTTTAATCTTTTCCCTTCTTTCCTAAAAAAAAAAAAAAAAAAAAAAAAAAAAAGTAAAGCAGCTTACCTGTTAATTTTGGACTAAATTTCTAAAAAGACGTAGTAATTTTATTTCTGCTAATCAGAATTTCACATAAATATTTCCCCATTCCATTATGTTCCACAGAACACAATTCAGAAATTCAGGTATTTTTGCATTAACAATAGCCTTAGGAAGGCTTCAATGCTGAATACCTAAATATGGTTGTCAATCAAAAGGAGAAGTCAATAAATGCAGTTTTGCAGACTTTCAGTGTTAAACAATGGTAAACAAAGGAATAACTTGGAAAATATTCTGGCATCCTTCTAAGATGCCGTTACTGATGCTAAAATAAGAAAGTTTTTCGTATGCAATAATTAACCCTATGGCATTCGAAAAACTTTTTAAGATTAAGAGAGAAAAGTTATCAAAAGCAACAGGACACTTGATCAACAATTTAAATGTAAAAGCTTTAAAAGTAGAACTCATAAATTTTTACAATGTTTTATAATAAATTTATAAGATATATTTTCAGTTTCATAGAATTTAAATTGCACTGCAGATCTCTTTGTGGAAAAAACCTCTGTCATGCATTATTGAATCGACTGTAACAGCAGTAACTTTTCTTGCTTCCATCGAGTTCAATATCGCTAGTTTTGGGAATTTTTACTGGAGATCAAAGCCAAATATCCTGTTAATTTGCCCTTCCATACAGCAGAATGATGACTCAACAATGGAAAAGTTGCAGAGAACTAATGGAAAATTTTCTAAATGAAAAAACTGCTTACAACCACCGTTAAATAAGCAATGTATGGTTGAGTATTCACTACACATATTGCAAATAAATTAATGAACTTAAAATTACAAGGAAAAACAATATTTATATGCAAAATGTATTGTATAATTAAGTCATAGTGCTTACATGGTTTGGAACAAAAATCAGGTTAAACAAGTTTAACTATTTTCCAGACTGTAAAAAAAAAAAATGTATACTAGTGAAGTTCCCATTTTTTCCCTACAAAAATCTGTAGTGGATACATTTTCCGACCTTAAGCTACAGTTTCAACAGCATTTTTTAGATCTTGAAGCAAGTGTAAGAGACATTTCCAAATTTCAAAATACAATTGATTGTACAAATGAGGAGCTTCCACTATTTTCAGAAGTGATTTATCAGCAAAATGCTTAAAGAAATGGATGAAACCTAATTCAGTCAATTAAAATCATATGCATAGTGATTTATATCTGCATTTGGAAGTACTTATTATCAAAGTGAAAAAACACTTTCGAAAATAAAATATGTAAAATCCCAATAGGATCATTATTAACAAATGACTATTTACTAGCAATTTTAGTGATAGGAAGTAGTAACATCAAGCTCCAGTTTGATGAAATATTATCTCAGAAAAAACAATTACATTCATTTCAATAGTACTAAATTTAATATGTTTATTAATAAATCAAAAGATTTGATCTCTTTTTTAATAAGTCAGCAAAATATGTATAAATATTACATAAAAATATAAATTCATAATAAAAAAACATTTTTTGATTGCTAAGTGTAATATCTTCAAGTTTGCTACTGGCTCACTGAGTCTAAAATTTCATGGTCTAACCCTTTGCACAAACTGTTTGCTGATCCTGGTGTATTAAATCAACCACACTTTTTAACCCATAAACTTCAACCCCCCCATCTGAAATTGTATACACTATGCAATCTTTTTCTTCCCAATCTTTAAGCAATAAAATTATAAAAAAGGGGAGGATATAATACTTCTGCAGTAAATATACAATATAGCTAATAAAAGTAATTTAAAATAACCAAACCTGAATATCCATAATTACCAGAACAATTCTCTAGCCCACAGTTTTCAATATTATTGTCATAATTATCGACACAGTCCTCCTGTTAAAAATGTGAAAAAGATAAAATTTATTCAACTGATTTAAAACAACTTACAACAAAATAATAAATACTTATATTTCTCAAAAATATATCCAAGGTTAGAAGGAAGGAAAAACATTAGAACATACCATTTGAACAATTTTAGGATATTCCCAGCTAAAAATGCCCCATAGAAACCAGTAAAACTTTTTATGGGTACCCATAACATTTTATGGGTTTTTATTGACTTTTACCGGTTTCTGTTGGTCTGTGGGTTTTCTTACTGGTTTCAAAATGACCCATAGAAACCAGTAAAACTTTCTACTGGTACCTATAGAATTTTTGATGGTCTCTACTGACTTTTACTGGTTTCTATCGATCTCTGTGGGTTTTTCTTACTGAAATCACTTGACACCCATACAACCAACATTTCAATGGCAGAACTTTGTACTGGTTTGTATAGGTTTATATTGACTTTTACTGGTATCAATATAATAATAAATCTTCTGTTGGTTTATATGGGTTTATGCTATTTTTTTATCTGACGTTAACAGACTTCTTGTAAACAATAAAATTAACAGAATGAAAATATGATCTCTTTAAGACCATCAGAGTAACCTGGAAACGCAGGTGGTCGTTTTAGAGAGGGTTTTTACTAAATATGCTCATTTATTTGATTTAAAAATTGTTTTACGGAAACAACAACAGTAATCATATACACCACACACAACGAGGTCTCTCTAAGGCGACCAGCCGCAAATAAATATTCATCTTTGAAAGTGGTCGCCTTAGAGAGGTGATGCTCATACCAATATATACTCACATTCTCAGAGATACGGTTATCTTTTAGAGGTGGTCGTCTTAGGGAGATTGCATCTACGGAATGAATCTCTCTAAGGCAACCAGCCACACTAGCAGAATTTTCTTTGTGAATGGTTGCCTTACAGAGGGAATATTCAATGCCAAAGTATACTTATGTTTTCAGAAATACTGGTCTCTTTCAGAGGCGGTCATCTTAGGGAGGTGGTTTTTGCTACGAGTTGGTTCTCTGAATACACACACATAAGCACTTACATTTCTGATATTACAAATAAACACCGGTATCAACCAACATCTCTTTAACGCGAACAAGTTCATTTACAATCGCAAAAGTTTTCTCTATGTTAACGCTGACGTGACGAAAAAAATTCCCCCCCTCCCCCACTCTCAGAAGTTTCCCAAACAAGCAATATGGCGCCGCCCTAGTTATTGTTGTGCGATGGTGGTGTTATTTTCTTCGTGGTTGTAGTAATGCAATATATTATTTACTATGCTTTACTGTATTACAAATTTTACTATGTTTTACTATTTAGAAATTAATAATAAATAATAAAATACCAGCACTGACTATGAATATACCACTAAAGCCATGCACGTGTAATCGTGTCTAATGTTTGAGAGAACGTTGCTGATAACTGACTAGTTGTGAAATGGAGTTTCTGAGCGTGAAATTATTGATTTTCCATCTTTACTTTTATCCTGAAAAAACAATATGCTTAAAGACTGAAAAGTGATAATTTCAGACTTGATAATTTGGTTCAGTGATCAGATGCAGAAATATAGTTTTTGCATTCTTACTGAAATTGTATTTTGGAAAATTTATTTTTTTGATTACAGTTTAGAAATACTTTTTTAAAGCTTGTTCATGTAGATGCTTTATCATTTGAATATTATGTACTAATAAATTTGAGCATACCTTACTTAAAAATGATCTTGCATGATTCAATTTTCAATTTTTCGACTAATGTGATGTGGCCAAGCAAAAAGAATACTTTTTTACATTTTAAAAAATGTACTAATTATATTTCGCGAGCAAAAAAGGTAAGTTTTATTAATGAAATAAACATTGAAATATTTAATGTGTTTATTACTTATTGAATGGGGTAGACAAGACATACAAGCTTAAGGAATCTTTTTTTCACTACTAAAATTATGTGAAAATTTAGATGATCATAGTAGCTTACATTGTTTTTTTCTTTACAAGTATGAGACTAGAACCACATTTTTACATTAAATATTTTGTGCTATTTTGTTAAAACACATATAATCATTTTTATGCATACTTTAATTTTCATTATTATTAGTTTGATGAAGAAAATTTCAAATGTGTTTTTCATAAATTGCTTTTGAAATAGAAATAGATTTGTGAATAAGATTTATGTAATATTAAATGTACTAGTCTTGGGAGTATAAAAAGTGAATTATTTATTTGAAAAAAATTACATTAAGTTGAAACCTCATATAGTGGTTATTTTCTTAAATGACCACCTCTGGTAATGGCACATTTGTCAGGACAATAATTAAATAACAGGACTTAAAAAATCACTCATAGTTTTGTCAGGCTACAGGAAACTGCATTATCTTGAATTGTGGAGTTGATTGTTTTAGGAACGTTTTGCTGTATAATCAATTGACTTCGGTGTAGTAATTTTACGTGGGTATGAATTTTGCAGAGGTAATTGAAAGTTTTTACGAGACAATTAAAACCAAAGCTTTTCGGATCATGAGTCTTATAAGGGCACTGTTATAGCATTGCTTTCAAGTATAGTTAGAGTAATATTTAAACATTATTTTCGGAAGCACTTCCACAGAGAATCCGGTTGCTCTCTGCGGATGAAAACCCATATAAATAAATCTTCTGTACAGCCTTATACAAATGCAGTTAAAATTACTGTCATTACAATTAAGCGAATATAGCTACATTTGTTTACAAAAAGTTATTATTGCTAAATACTGCACTATATAAATTTCATTTGGCATTGTAATTTCAGAAAATGCTCAGCATGAGGTATTTTTATATTATATAATCTACTGTCAAAAAAATTAGCTACCTTTTCAGTACTTTAAATTTTACTATTTAGAATTTTTATGGTTCAAAATAATATTTCTATACATTTTCTAAAGTATTCTTTCTACAATAGAAATCTAAATAACTTACACCTAAAACACTGACTAAATTTATTCCAATAATGCATCGCTTTAATTAAATTTATGTTCCTTTGAGATGATATATGAAAAACCTTGTGTAATAATAAATTATTAATATATATAGGTAAATGGTATTTTTATATATTTTTTCGGGTAAAGTGCATAATCGCCTGGATTTTTGTCAATTTTCTTTTGACTTTTTAAGTGAAAATAGGTCGATGTGTACCTGGATAAAGTCAAAGGAGTGCGCAATGACATTTTTGTGCAATTCTGGAATGTTTTTTTAAGTGAAAATACATCGATGTATACATGGATACCAAGTATGTGCAATTTTTAAAAACACGCCAAGCAGTGGGCGATTCTACACTTTCCCCATTTTTCTATAGGAATTTAGTTTCATTAAATTAGTTATTTAGTATAATTATGTGTATATGAGTATATTCATACTTATTCACATAGATGGAATTTTTACAGTACGAAAGTTGATCTTTTTTTACATCAAGAACTACATATAGTATAAATACCCATTATGTTATAGATTTTATTTATATAAAATCTGTGGAAGATTATATAGCACTAAAAGTGAGATACGGAATAAAACATTATACGCTATGAGATATTTCCTTAATTCCCGAACTGTGCGTTGAGAATTGGTATTTGTTGAGACTTGTAAATTTTTTTTAATTCGTTTTGTTACAATATAGTTTATTGTATTTTGGGTATTATTAAGTTTATTATATGTTATCTTCATGTTTTATTTATCTTTTGAGAGATGCAGGTAAAATTCAAAGTATTGTAATAAGGGGTCGACACAGTGTTTGTATATTATTATGTTAATCTTTGATTATGGTAATTGATTTTTTGGTGACCAACCCTGCTTCAGCAACCTTAGTTTTTTGGACGCCATTTTGTTTTACAAAGTAAGGCTTTTTTTTTTTTTTTACTCAACATTTTTTTCCACAATTGGAAATTCTCTTATACTAGCTTTTATGGAACAAAAATCTTAATCATCGAGATTAGGTGCGAAATTTCGGAGACAGCGCAGAATCGCATCCTCAGCGTTTTTAGTTGCACATACACGGTATCATCCATGCACGTCAACCTATTTTCACGTAAAAACATCCCAGAATGTGTTGTCTTGACTTTATCCATGTACACTGCTAAGTCCTACAGTATTTATCGCCTTATGTCGCCAAACTACCTGTTACTATTCCAAAGAGGGATATCCTTTCTTCCAAGCAAAACATCTATGTGTAGCTATAATAAACTGCAGGGTGTTACTATCAGTGGGTAAGCGAGCCTTAAGGGGATAGCAAGTATGCTAAATTTGAACTCTATGTTAAGTTTCTAATTTGCAAGTCCCGTATTCTTTTTGCTTGCTTGTTAATAATGTTTCTCTTCCTGAAAATTTGGGTTTCTTCTAATTTTGTTTTTTAATTTGGTTTAGTGCATTGTAGGTAACTTAAAATTTAAGCAGATGCTAGAAAGTACCATCCTTTGGCAATACATTTCTCATTAGGTATCAAATTGTTAAACAAGCTGATGTGATTAAATACAATTGTTTAATTTCCCAATTAAAGAACTGAAATACAAATATATGCAGTGAGGTACAATATGTATATATTTATAATGAAATCAATAATATATATACAGTCAAAGTAATGATTCGCAACCATCAAATGAAATGATATTATATATATATATGTAATAGATTCTGTAGTCGAATACAAGCAGCTGAATCCGTAATGAACAGCAAGAATTTTGATGGCTTAGAGATGTTGAAACTCCAATCCACAATGAATAAGAAATTTGGCAGTCGAGGTAGATTTAATTCAACTTTTCTTTCAGCAAATATGTTGCAGCCACAAACAAGTTGGCACATTATTTATGCCTATTCCAAAAATTAACATTTTTGATAAATGTGTAGTAAGAAACAAGGAGCAGACAGACTGCAATCCAGCTAATGCCAAAGCGTAAAAAGCAAATGCGTTATGTTAAGGGTGAAATCTTAATTCAGACCGAGTTAATTTTGGTTCTCGATGCATTTTTACTCG